GACCAGGCCAGGACGCTATCACGCTGCTGCCCCCAGCTCCGCGGCCCTCCTCGCACTTAGGACGGGATCCAGAGCCCTTCGTGCGACTCGCACAGCACCTGGCACTGTCTGGCATATACAACAGCCACTTATGTATCTCCTTCTCAAACTGAGCTGCAGGCCCCATGATAGCTGGAGGTGGGGTGCCCTGTTGTAGCCCCAGCACTAAGTACAGTGCTGGCGGTGGTGGGGAAACCCGGAAATATTTACGGTAGGAAAAGAAAGACAACAAAACCAGCCCAGCAGGGGGCTTTGTGCTGTTTTGTGAACACACTTTGGTAACTGAGTAAATCCTAACTTTTCCTTTCTCTTAACTCGTGATTAACCTTATTTTGAATGAGAAGAGTCAGGGCCCCTGAGGAGGAGTGGTTGGTGTCCAGCCACCCTGTCTGTCTGCTGATACAATCCCCCAGCTACAGCCCCAGTGACCTGGGTCCAGTTTGCACAGAGCAACGTCTGGGGCTCTTCCACCTTTGACCGATTCATTCATCCCCAAAGGGGCTCCAAGCAGCTTCAGCTAATGCTAGAAGCACAGGGTTTCCAGGTATCACTGGGCTTCATTAGTGTGACAGTCGCATTCCTACTGGGGTTGGCAGTCAGACCCTTAAAAGGGTATCCAGATGGCGCCACAGTGACGGCTGTCACAGAGGACAGGAGGACCCACCAGAGAACGACAGGGCTCGGGAATGAGCTCCACACAGACCCTGGTGGCTCAGCCTGGCTGGGGAGGGCCGAGTGGCTGTCCAGTCGCTCGCTCGTTCAGCTCCTCTCCGTCTAGTTCCTTCTGTGCACGAGGCGCTGGCCCGAGTCCTGGGGATGTGGCGGCCATCCAGGAAGACAGGCTCTGCCCTCAAGGATGGTATCTGTATATCTGTCAGTCTGTCTGTCGAGCAGGGGAGGGAGGGACGCCCTTCAGATGATGAACATATTCCCTGCTCTCAATAGTAACAGCGGCAAAGAACAAGACACTCTGTCCGCACCACTCTGGGGAACTTACCCCAGCCTTAGTGCTTAGGCTAAAAGATTCCCTGTGCGGGCACCACCTCCACTAAGAACAGAGAAGGAGCAGGGGCTAGCTGCGGGCTGGGGACTCGCAGCAAAGGGGGCGGCCTGTCCCGGGGCCCTGCAGCTGCGGGAGCAGTCAGAGGTCAGTGGAGAGTCCAGTGGAGGGGGGAGCAGGGGAGGAGGGGGCAGTCTGTGCGTGTGAGCCATTGTGGGTGTCCAGGCAGGCGATGGGGAGTGGAGGCGGCAAGGGCTGGGGAAGGGACACCTTCAAGGGACGTGTGGACGCAGCGTGGAGGATGAGGCGGTGTGGCCAAAGATCATCGGGAAAGGTTCCTGAGCTCCTTGAGCAGGCTGTGCCGCCACCTGAGTGCACGTGATGAACGAGCAGATGGCCTCTGGGTGAGGAGGGCCTCCTCTGAGGCCAGGGGGCTGACCCGGCAGCAGGTGTGTGGAGAGAAGCAGAACTGTCGGAGAGGGGGTGTTGTCCGGGTGTTGGGGTGGAGGCTTCCCAGGGCAGCTGCGGTGGAGGGAACTGGTCACTCAGGCCAGGGCCTTAGGAGGGAGGTCCCGTCAGGGCACAGACGCAGGCACCACAGCCAGGACAGCCGGGGAAGCTTGAGAGTGGGTCCCCTGTCCGCACAAAGCTTGTGACTGCTCGGGGCACCAAGGCAGATTCAGAGAAACAGGATTGAGATGGATATAAGAAATTATTATTTAAAACTCTGGTCCATTGACTCACCACAGGAAATGATTTGGCCTAAGCTGAGTGGTCCCTGGTCCTATTCTGGGAGGAAGTGACTAAGTACAAAGATTCTCTACCTGCATGGGAGCCCTGAGCCTAGCTGGGGAGGTCGGTGAAACCTGCAGGCACGTACAGGAGAAAATGCCTTTAAGTCCAGACACAAACACGTCCTTGTTGCACATGCCTTCTGAGGCCACTCGGTAGGAATCACAGCTGGAGGGGCGGCGCCTCTGCTTCCGGTTCATGCAGACCCTGAGCAGCACGCCGAGTATAGCCGTGCCTGAGAGCCGTGTGCCTGTGGCAGGCCCTCGTCCCCGCAGTCTGCTGCGGCTCCTCCAGGAAGCGCAGCGCAGACACCGTGTTGGCGTCTGAATCCTGCTCCCAGACAAGAGAACTTCTAGGGTCAGTCAGCTGGAATGTAGCAATATCCAGTCACTGTGGTGTGGGCCTCCTGGCATGGTCTCCTCTTTTCTAGAAACCCATACCGCTTCGAAGATGACTTTGACCCTCACGTAACGCTGCCGTGATATCTGTGAGGAAGTCTGAAGGTGCAGGACTTTATTTTCAAGGGGAAGGCGGTGTTTACACCCAGATGATCCTCCCTCCCAGTTTCTGAGCTTTGCTGATTTCACCGAAGGAAAGCCCCCCTGGCAGCCCCCAGCAGGACCCCCTGTGGGACTGTACATGCAGGCCACTGGACAGCCATGGGCCAGGGTCAGCAGTGAGCAATCTGCATGGCCATTCGCAAAGACCCCTGCCAGAGACCCCATGGGGACTTCCCCCTGTTTTGAGCAGCATCTGTGTACTCAGGAGATGGGAAGCCAGGATGAGGGGAAACCCAGCATGATTAGTGCTTTTGTGGGACTTAGTTAATGATTAACAGCTTATCCCTGCTTTCGTTTATTAACCTGTGACTTCCTTGAAAAGGAAAATATGAGTTCTCTTTAGAGAGGTTTCTTTGGTCAACAGTGGCTGCTGTTTTAGAATGGAGAGGTATTAAGAGAAATTGGACAAAGACACCACTTGTTTTTCCCCCAAAATGTGTTAGGTGTGAATGTATATTTCTTATCTTAGGAAGAAAACTATGCAAAACAAATTTAAATAAGCTTCTGCTATTAAGTCAAAGCACATATCTACAAATGACTTCTTACTGGAGATTCATTACAGCCTTTGTTTGAACTTAACTTTTGGAAGGTTTATGACAGCTCTTGTTAATACGTGATATTATAATGAGAAAATAACAGAGCAGAGAATCAAAATGGCTTAAATATTGACATTTGTCTTATTTTTAATGGGAAATTATAAAATCTTCTCTCAGAAAATCCACAGTGACCTTATCCAGATTCTGAGCATTTCCCCCTCAGCAGCACACACACCTTCTCTAGCACCGAGGGACTCGAAGAAGCAAAGAAAGGCCCCTCTGCTTGTCTCCATTCGCAGGATCCGAGTCTGCACAGTGAAGGAAATGTTCTGTCTCCTTCACAGATGGATGTAGATTTCCAAGCCATTTGGCCCAAGAGATGGTTTAAATGGGAATGAATTTAACAGACCTTTGATTCTCTGGAATGCAAGAACTCCATCTGAGGTTTGGTCCAGGACAAAGTCTAGAAAATCTATCACATTAATGCCGGCGGCTCAGAGCCCAAAGCTACATGAACAGGATGCTCGATAAAGAGAGTGTGAGAAGAGTGCTTCGAAGGAGACTTAAAAACAAGTTGGCTGTTGACAGGATACCAGGCCTTCGTGGGTCATATACCACCTAAGAAAAGACAGAAATAATAATGCTTAAGAAACACAGCTGATTAAAAATAACTCAGTACATAAAAGGAAAACTATAAAATAGCTTCTCTGCTCTAGTGTTAATGTGAGATGCCACACAATGAAATAATAGGAATTTTTTTTACTTCATCTCACACTGGCAAAAAGGGATGGAAAGGAAAATTATATTGCCAGAAAATACCAGGGGTAGATTCGCTAAAGATGTTAGCTTGTACTGTATTTAAAACAAAGATCTAATTGCTGTAATTTATCATACCTCTGGTTATTAAGACCATACCAATTTAAAGATTTTAGTCATTCACATTGTGACTTTTTATAGACAACACCACGAGAATTTCTAGCTTTGTCAGCCTTTGTGTGATTTTTTTTAGGAGCTCCTAAGTCAAATGGACATGCTTTAAACATGTAATTGTGTTCACATCAGTAATAAAAATTCCTTGTATTTTCCTTTTAGTTTGTTCAGTGAAATGTCCAAAATTGCTTTGTAATTGCTGAGCCTGGTGTGAGAGAACACAGGGTGCTGCGTGATTCTAATCTGTACATACAACTAGCACAGAGCAGGGGGGCACCCACCCTTCCTTTGTACTGGGGAGAGGATTCTTCCAATGATCGGAGAAATTGAAAGAAAGGGTTTACTGGCTTTGGCATGAATTTGCTCCTTGACCTTGAGAAGTCAGAGATCCATAAGACAGTCGGGGAGGCAAGTCTGCTCTTTAAAAACAGACACTACATCGTCTCCTCTCTAGATGGCAAGAGAAAGGGAGGGAGGTAAGCAAGGGATCCTGCGGTGCCGAAGGAAGCCTATCCCAGAATGAAAGATGGCCCTGGGGCTGAGGGGCGGGGGGTGGGGGGGATGTCAGGGCTGAAGGGGTTTCTCTGTGGAGTGTGTGGGAGGCTGTGGGGAAGCAGACACCCCATTTCAGCAAAACTGTATTGCTGTAAATTGTTTGCACCCAGAGAAGCACGGTCATTGATTCGGTTTTTATACACCTCGTAAGAACAGACAATGGTTTTATGTGCAAAGAATTCATGAGAGTAGCTTTATGACTTAATAATATGTGTCTTTATTAAAATATATCATTATTTCAAAGCAAAAGAAAAAATACATAAATTAGTTTCCTAAATGAGAAGCCAGTCCCACCTCCAGACCAAACCTATGACATTCAGTGTGGTCATAGATTCAAGTTCTAGAAGCCAGAGCTCTAAGCTGCTTTGAAGTGCACTCCCTTGTTGGAAGCTTAAACTGGTTTGCTTAAGACCCCGCTCCAGGTCACAGGTGTACGGCACCCTGGTCCTCGTCCCTCCATGTCTCACCATCACCCTGCCCTTCTCTCTGAGCTCTCGCCCCCGTGAAAGCGGCTGTCCAGAGCTTCTTCCCACCAGCCCCCAGCGCCGTGCTCTCTGCCTACCAAGTGACCAGGTGTTCCTTCTGCAGGTGCCAAGTTCCCCATTAAATGGACGGCCCCCGAAGCAGCGCTGTACGGGAGGTTCACAATCAAGTCGGACGTGTGGTCCTTTGGGATCCTGCTCACTGAGCTGGTCACCAAAGGAAGAGTGCCATATCCAGGTAAGCTCAGGTCCAGCAGGACGCTGCTTGGGACACCTCGCCCAGTGTGCCCTCTAAGCCCCCATCCTCAGCTTCCTGCCCGGCGTAAGTGTGAGGGACACACAGGTACCCAGACAAGCCGAGCTGGGAGCCGCCAAGAGTTGTGGCCAGGATTGACATAATAAGCTGCTGGTGTGGGGGCTTCGGGCCACCGCAGGGCTTGGAGCCTCCCTCTGCCCGTGGCTCCCTGAGCAGGAGCGCCACTGCAGAACTTCAGATACTTGGAGGGAAAGGGGAGAGAGCCCCCTGCCCTGTGGTGACGTGGGGATGGAGCCTGCAGGCCCAGCTCTCACCGGCCTGGGCGAGAGATGTGGCTCACCACCCCCTCCTGGGCAGCAGGGCACTGTGCAGACATGCGTGTGACACGGGGCCAGAGCCTCTCTGGGCTGGGCCGTTTCCAGGTTACCAACTTCGCGCTGCACAAAGCAGCCCCTGCTGGGCGGCCACCGATACCACAGACAGATGGTGATGTCAGAGACACCCCTGCCCTTCCCCGAAAGCCAGGCTGTGACGTCATGGCCCAGGGGCCACCTGCCTTCTGGGACACCAGAGCGTGTTTCTCAGCTGCTGCTGCGTGAAGGGACCTGCAATGATAGAAGCGATAGTGCAGGCTCACGGGGCGCTGGGGCCTCCTGTGCATGCTGGCTTTGCGACCGTGTCTCTGCCCCATGGGAGCCAGCAAGGGCAGATTGGTCTGTAACCCCCACGGTCATTTTTTATGACTATGTCTGGTCATCTGCAGAGGCTGCAGAGAAATAAAGAGGATCGCGTCAGGTTGGTGTGACCTCAGGACCCCTCCCAGAGCCAGGCTCGCAGAGGCAGAACGGGCCAGCTCCCCGTCCCTGAGGCAGCAGTTCTGTGCTCAGAGATGCAGGTGGATTCCAGTCTCACTGCTGTGCAGCACCACTGTTCCCAGCAGCACAAGGGGGCGGACACTCCGGGAGCAGCCAGCCAGCACGAGATGAGCTTGGAGGGCCTGGGGCACAGCATGGGCATTTTTGAGTTGCTTCTCAGAGGGAGAGCATGCAGTTCTTGGGACTGTGAGGGTGTGAAGTCACCTCTTTACTTCTGGTCTGAATTTTGAACTAATTTCTTCTGCACACCCCCTAGGTTTACAGTCAGCCGGTGTGTTAAATGCAGATGCAGGGAAAAGCCATATTGTTTTGCATTTCTGTGAAGCCTTTCCCTCTAGTCATACAAAGCTGCTTTTAATGTTTCTCAGGGTCCCACACAGAAACTGGGACAAAGGGAAGGGACGGGGCCTCAAGACAGGAAGGCAGGTGTGTGTTTCTGAGACTCTTTCGTCAGGTTTGGTTTTAGCATAAAGAAAATGGCCCCATTTGTAACTTAGACCTGGGCTCACGCGTTTGGCAGAGCGCTAGTATGTATGAACTGCACCAGGCATTCAGCTCCTCTTGGGACGCAGGTATGAATAAGGCATCCACACTCTCGACAAGACTGGCTAGAGCCTCCCTGGAGCTGGGCGCCACCTCAGCTGCTCGGGGCAGAGCAGCGAGCGAACACGTACATCTTGTCCCTGAGGTCATGGGCCTCACAGTCAGACAGACGAGATATGCAGGTCCAGGAAGAAGGCCACTGTTCCTGTTGATTCATTATTAGACAACCTCAACTGCAAGGGATGGATTACTTGAGTTTGCCCACTGAGAGCCCCAAATCTTCCTTCTGATAATGGGGTCAGGCACCTGATTCAGGTACGTTTGTACAACAGGTCTGAGAGGGGCCCTCCACTAAGAACCCATGGAGACGGCCAAGGAGCGTGAGTGAGGACTGGGCCCACTTCATTATGAGTAGTTGTAAAGCTGAGCAGGGGGCACCAAGGGCCTTTGGCAGCTGCTGTCGTTCTGTGTGGGTGGTGGGGATGCGTCCGGGAGGCCTCATGGAGGTGGTAAGTGGGCCTCTGAGGTTGTCTGAAGGAACAGGGTCCCAGGCAAGGTTGGCATGCGGGAGAGCAGCAAGGCCTGGGGCTGGCGCCAGGTTAGGGCTCCCTGGGACAACTGGGAGGAGAGGGCTGAGCGGTTCTGTGCCTGGAGGTATGGCCAGAAAGGCTGATGGGGTCCATCCTGAGGCCTGGCTGGTCAGTGCTGTGTCCAAAAATAGTGTCCTCAGAGGCCACTTGAGCTGCCCACCAGAGAAAGCCACAGAGAACTGCTCTGTCCCTAGCCAGCGTGCTTCCTGTTGTTTCCAGCATGCTGTGACGGTTTGTAATTGGACTCCTGAACCTCACCGTGAACTCTTCTGGAGGGAGAGGCCCTTACAGAGGGATCCCAGTCGCAGGGTCACTACTTCAGTGAAGGACAGCGGCTCCTAAGAACAGTTCCATTGAGCTTCACCCAGGTGTTGCTGAAAGGAGGGGCCTCCCCCTCCTGTTCCCTCTGCGGGTGTGCCGCCCACGGCCTCGCGCCTGCTGGTGGCACTCAGGCAGATGCCAGGCCCAGCTCACCGTGCCTCCAGTCTGACGTCTCCATGCTGTAATTCCGCAATCGGCGGAAGCATTTTTTTCAAGAACAGCAGGTGGCGGTATTTTCCTGGGTCCTTTCACGTGAAAATGGCCTGCTACCCTGGAGGGAAGGTGGCTGAGGCCGGAGGTCCGGGGAGAGGCGACTCGCTGCTCACTGCGGGCTTTATAAAGCTTTCCAGGCATTTTTGCCTGGCTTGAACGTAGGCTCAGAATAAGAATCAGAGAAGGAATCTGAACGGAGTGTGTGGCGTGACCAGTGGAGGGCAGAAGGGTCAGGGGACAGTGAGACATTGGCCTGGGAGGTTGGTCAGCGAAATTTGTAAGAGGGAGGGGAGACGGCAACCTCACCCTGAAGTGTGGCGCTGAGATTTTCAGGGAAGTCGTGGGGGAGTCACAGCGCCCTGCCAGGCAAAGAAGGTTGCTTCCCAGACACAGAAGGCCCCCTTTCCCAGAGGCCCTGGCAGCAGCAGCCTGAGGCTGCCTTGGCACAGAGGTCTGGCCTGCCTTTCCATGAGCCGGTTCAGAACCATTCTTGGTGTCAGTATTAGAACTGATTTTACACTCATGGGTTGCTGAGTGTGAGAAGTGAAGACTCTTAAAAGCAGTTTTCTGAAGTTGATGCCTAAATTCAGGGTCATGTCTTTTAACCTGACATTTCGCCTTTAAAACCTCTCCTTCCTTTTCACGGGCCTTCCTGCTTCCCATCGCCCCTGTCGCCCCCCAGCACCACCCTGGCTTTGTCACCACCAGAGTTATTACCCTGGAAACACAAATGAGGCATCTCGCTCGCCTAGTGGAAATGCCCGTGGCTCCCCTTTGCCTTCCAGACAGACCCCAGGAGCCTCTCTGTGCGGGGCTGTATCACGTTCCTTCAGTCAGTCCGCCGGTATTCATCAAGCACCCGCTGCCTGCCAGGTGCTGCCGAGGCAGCAGCAGTGCAGCCCAAACCAGAGGGCACAACTCCTGCCTCAGGAACTTTTACTCACGGTGAACAGAGATAAATACGAAAATCAATTCTGTGTTAGCTGAAGGTAACAGGTACAAGGAAAGTGAAGCAGGACACGGGTAGAGGATGTCAGGAGAGGGTGGCAGGGGAAGGCCTCCCTGGGAAGATAGCATGAGTGACGACCTGGGGGAAGCAGGCCCAAACCAGGCAGGTTCTGGGGAAGGACCCTGCCTTCAGGGGACTCAGAGCACTAAGCCTCAACTGCAGCCAACAGCTCTGAGCCCAGGCCTGGCAGGTCGGACAGCGCCTCCCCTGGTGGTCAGGACTTCGGGGTCACTCTTAGCAGGATACAGAGCCACTGGGGGCTTTGAACAGAGGCGACATGGCCCAGCCCAGAATTTCCCCCTTGCCACCCCCGCCTCTGCACACCAAGGGACCTCTCCAACACGCAGATCTCACGTCTCGGCTTCACTGCTGCAGAACCCTTCAAAGCCCAACCCAAAGTCACCTCCTTTGTGTCCCTTCTCCACATCCTGGCCCAGTGGGTTGCCCCTTCTGCTTGCTTCCATGACACCCAGCACATCTCTTTTGAGTGTCTATTTCACAGTAGCTCTGAACTCTGAGAGGGCGAGGGAGCTCCTTCTGTTTCCCGATGCCCAGCACGGTGTCTGCCCCTTCACAGACTCTCAGTGGGAATGAGTGAGTGGATGGGCGGTGGATGGGCGGTGGGTGGGTGGGTATGTGGATAGGTTAGGAGAGGAGGAGATTATGCCTGTGAAGTTATTGAAACCAATTTTTTTAACTTGGCCCATAGTTTGCAAAGCCTTTCTCATCTATTTCACCATGTCACACAGAAATATGGCGTGTGTTTTCCCAGCCACAAGACAGCATCTGTCCTCAGAGCTGTTCTGGGACTCTGACCCTGTGGCCAGCGCACACACACGTCGCAGCACTGTCCCAGGCAGAATGTCCCGGCCATTCTGTGCTAGGCTCTCAGCTGAGCCCCTGCTTTGTGAACTCGGCAGGAGCTGGCAAAGCAGGAATGCTGTGTTAGGGACACCACATTGATCTGTGCATTTGAAGCACTTTCAGATCTCTTAGCAAGTGACAGCTGCTTGGCTTTGATGAATGTGTCCAGCCACTTGATAACGCCTGAAGGGGTAAGGGGATTAGTGACACTAGTAGCACCTTCCTTAAAGAGCTAGAAGTCCTCCTCGGCCTCCCTCTGCCGCACTCAGATTACAGACATGATCTCCGCTCGGCCCATTGCTGTCACCTACGCTCACGCCTGGGCCCAGCATGCCAGCAGGAGCAGGTTTGTCTTAAGGGAGAGAGAGGTTAGACTGTCCAGCCAGGAGAGTGGGAAGCAGGGTGGGACCACTGATCCTGGCCATGGGTGCTTTGTCCCCCACCCTCCCAGCCCCCACGCTGATCCTTCCAGCTCATGGCGTTCCCAAGAGAGGAACCCTTGCCAGGAAGGCCTGGGAGTCATGCCAGCACCTTCCCTCCAAGGTTTCTGGGCCAGTGCGGCGGGGAGAGGAGGCGGGGTGTGAGGAGAATGTGCATGGGGACTTGCGCCGCCCTGCGTTCTCAGCTGTGCATCCCTCCCCGTGGCCTTCCTGCCCACACCCTCTTTTCACATCGGGGACAGAGTCCTCGGCGGTATATCATCAACTTAAAGTGACCCTTGTATGTTATGGAGCCTGAGTAGCTCGTGTCTCTGCACTTACTGACGCAGCCTAATAAGCACAGCTGCCCCAAGGTCTCAGCTGGCGGGGAAAGAGACAAAATCGTCACACTGAGCCTCGTCAAGCTCCCCCTTTATTTTCGCATGTGCTTTCTGATCAGCATCTATCTGTACTTTGTTCCTGGGCCAGAACCCAAAGGCAGCAGCATGACTCGAGCACGTGCTGGTCTGGTAACACCTGCTCCTGCCGAGCGGGCACCATTCACACGACCTCCTGCCTCCACCACCAGGACAGCCCTGCTCAACAGACGAGCAAAATGAGGGCTTCTTACAGGTTTATGCGGAGAAGCAGGGGAGGCTCTGACAGGCCTCGCGCACAATAGAGTATCATTTCTTCTGGCTGGAAAGCTCAGTTTTCAGAAGTGGCCTGGCTATCTGACAATCTTAACATCATTCCCATTGTTGAAGTGCTCAGTTGTTCACATGGCACAGAAATCCAGGTTCTTGTAACCCATAGTTAAGTCCAGATACAAACTCGACCAATAAACAGTTAAAATTCCTGATTATGTGGAGATGATGATCCCTCTGAGACCAATGTCTGCTGCACAGAAGGGAGGCAGGAGAGCAAAAGACACTCCTCTTAGCAAATGTTTTCCGGACAGGTGAGTGCGCTGAGCGCGGAGATGCTTTATCACCAATTGAGAAACTGAGGCAGGGGCGGTCGGTCACCTGCCGGAAGACAGTGAGAAACTCGAAGTCGCAAGTAGTGAGTGGCTTTGCCAATGGAAATGAGCTTTTTTTCCTCCCTAAAGAATCTAAAGGAAAAGAGGGGAGCCTCTCTTCTCAAAGAGAAATAGGAAAGTTTAAAAGAGGGAGGGGGAAAACGAAAAGGAGAGAAGGGAAAGAAACAGGTGGAAATGGACTGTTGGGTGCCGTGCGTTCCGAGGGCTGGAAAGCGGGAGGTGGAAACCCGACCTCAGTTCAGAAACCAGGAGGAAGGTCTGGGTTCAGAGAGGGCGCGAGAGTCACAGGGGCAGGAAGTCGGCTGGTGGACGGACCTTGGCTGCAGTGTTTTGGGCAGACCGACTGGAAACGACGCTCCCAGGGGCCAGGTCTGAAAGCCTGAAGTGCACGGTGGCAGGAGGCCCCCCGGGAGGAGGGTCTGAAGGCAGACGCTGAGCCAGGGCCCGCACGGGGCTTCCATGAGCCGCGCCTGTGAGAGGCGCCATGGAACGGCCTGTTTTCCTGTGAGCCCAGGGGAGCGCGGAGACAGGCAGAAGAGGGCAGGCCTGCAGGGGACAGGCGGTGTGTGTGTGCTCTCTGGTGCCAAGCTGTGCACCCCGACTCTGGCGTGCTAGCTGGGAACGGGGCGCGTGCCCAGGCACGCTTTGGGAATGTGACACTTGCCACAGTGGAACAGCACTGGCTGGTGGGACCAGCCCTCCTATCGAGAAGGGTCTCTGTTGCAGCTCCCACTAGGGTCCTGAAGTGCTGACAAGTGTTTCCTGAAAAGCTGCCCGTGCATTGTGTTTTAACCTCCTTCCTTTCTCTGCCTGCCCTCTCACATTCTCCCCCGACAGTGGGCGGACAGGAAGAGCACACCCCGCCTGCTTCCTCGTTTGGAAGTACCCCTCCCTGGGAAGACCCTTCCCGAGCACCCTAGGCATCGCAGCGCCCACCCAACTCAAGCTTGCTTACATCTCTCGCCTTCCCAGTCCCGTCCCTCACCTCCAGGCATTAGATAAATCAAGGTCTTGGGAAAGCAGATAAAAGAGGGGAAACAACAGTTTTCTCTGTAACAAAAATACAAAACTGTCTTTAAAAAAAATGAAATAGGCTCATCCTATGGTAGCAAACAGTGTAAAATCCATTTGGCAAAAATTAATTTTTGAAATAAAATATATGACTTTTCAACATTCTTATAGTCAAGAATACAGCTTTTTAAACTTGACCCCAACCCACTTATTTTGGCCATGGTGTGTAGGCTGAAAACTAGCCTGAGCCCTGCTGAGTGGCCATCTACTGGCACTGTGCTGACAGAGGCAGCCTGTTGGAGGTCATGCCTCTGCATCTGTGTCCAGGGCGTGGGCTGAGCACGGAAATAATAGGCTTGACCCAAGTGGCCAATTAGACTTTCCATTAGTGGAGACTGAATCAAGAGTTTTTTAAAAGCATGACATCTTTCCATTTGAATAGTTTGTTTTAATGAAGTGAACTATTTCCTGGCATAAGCCCCACAGAGCAATACAATGGCTAATTACCCTTGGTGGTGCCATTTCAGGCAGCTCAGGACCAGGATAAAGCATCGAGGGGACTTGTAACCTCAGCCAGAAGGGCCTGTCGGACCGTCTGAGGTTGAGGGCCTCTTTCCATCTTCCCCTGGCTCCTGGCAGTTCCTGGAGGCCCAGGCCACGTGGCTTCCGTGATACTACGAAACCAAAGACTAAAGCATGAGGCAGACGCTTTGCAGAAAGCCAGGACTAGCACATGAGGATACTCTCTCCATGACCTTTCCAGGCAGGAATGGGGTCACCGCCCTCAGGAATTCCCAGCCAAGGTCCTTGGGACAACATGTGCTTCAGAATCAGACTTTTTTTAATTTAGAAATTCCATAAGAGCATAGACCATACATTACATAGGCCCGTCCAGGGCAGTACTCCATACTCAGACACATCCTTACTTCTGCAGCAGTACGCATGTAAAAATAAAAACAGTAAATAGCCTCATGCCAGGTCAAGTTTTATGGCCAAATGACGTCAGTTCAGATCAGTTTCCTGCCAAGTGAGTCCCAGAATTTGTGGAGCAAGCCCCGTCTCCCACCCTGCTCTCCTGGCACCTCAGGCTCTTCATGCAGTTCTGAGCTCAGGAGTTGGGGGGGATTTAGGCCGACCAGCCACAGAGCTTCCGGAACCCCCACCTGAAGTGGGTACCTGTAAAGTCAGGCTTGGTGTGGAGGCAGGGGACCCAGACTCATTCACCAAACCTCTCTCTAAAACAAGTGTCACCCCAGAAATGTGAGTGAGATTACATTAGAATAATGAAATTGGAAGCCTACTTCAATGTAGGAGTAATACATGGATCTTATCAGCTCAAGAAATTATAGTGGCAGAGAATAAGGAAACACCCTGAAAGGCGTGGGTGGGCGTGTGATTGACACGCTGTAGCTGGCGGCATGGGAGCCCGGGTAAGCCCAGCTCCAACAGTAGTAAGAAAACAGATGGCCGTAGACCCCAGAATCTGGTGCCGCCTCCCCAGGGGCACAGGCTGTGCTCTGGACCCACTTCCTCTGGCCACGCTTCCAGGGTTCTAGCTGACAGGTCATCCACTCCTCCAGAAGTAAAGGAGCTACAATGTGCACGTGCCGTGTTCTGCTGCCTGTGTCCCTGAGAGATGGGGGCAGGATCCTAGGTTCCTCTGTGGCTTGAAATCAGTTTCTCACTTTTATGAATTAACCAGGTGAGAAGTTGGGGAGGATCCAGATTGCAGGCTGGGGACCAAGAAGCAGCCAAACATACAAGAATGTGGCAGGCGGTGGCGGAACACTATGTGGTGAGAACAGGAAGGCGAGCTACAGAACAGAGCCTGGCAGTGACTGGGAAAGGGGTTGGGGCCCATCCCGAGTGTGCTGTCTGCTGTTCTGCCCAGAGACTGACATGCGGGGGGCTCTGCTCTCCGGAGGGCTCGCAGCCTCCCGAGATACCCCTCTCACTGTGCGCAGCCCGGCGTCTGGGTAGCCGGCAGCACCCGCTGAGGGCTGCAAAGCTCTCGCATGATGGGCAGCCTGTCTCCCCATCAGTCACCAGACCTTGCAGCCGCTGCTTCTGACAGTGCCCAGCCGGTGACATGGTGGCAGCTCTTGAGCCTGCCTGGAGCGTGAGGAGAACTGATGTATGAACTTCGTAAGTGGAGCTCAGAGAAGATTAAACACAGGGCAGTGGTTTTCATTGCGTGGACTCTTTTTTGTCTGTTTCATTCATATTTTTGTCAGCTAAATTGGGGTGTATTTGACATTCGACAAAATTCAACAATTCTAAGAATACATGACTTTGGATAAACATAAACAGTCACACTCCCACATGCAGGATATTGAACAGGAGCTGGCAGACTAGACTCTGGGCCAAATCCAGCTCCCACCATGTTTTTGTTTTATGCATTTTTGAAAGGTTTTTTAAAAGAAAGAAACATGAACAGAGATCATCCGTGGCCCATAGATCCTAAAATATTCACCATCTGGCCATCAGAGGAGGCTTGCTGGCCTGGTCCAGAGCATTCCCATCACCCCACAGTGTCCCCCACAGCCCTTCACCCCGGTACCTCCAATCTGCTCTGTGCAGCTGTGGTCTCCCCTTTTCTAGAGCCTCGTGTCAAGGAAATCATGCACCATGCTGCCCTTCGTGTCCAGCTGTCATGACACTTGAGTCATCATCTGGCTCTGGGTTTATGGGTAGCGCGCTCGCTGTCTCCAGGCAGGGTCGCACCAGTGTCTCCACCACATGCAGGCTCAGGCCCGGGCCCGGGCCCGGCGGGGCCGCTCTCACTGCCTTGTCTCCGCAGGTATGAACAACCGGGAGGTGCTGGAGCAGGTGGAGCGCGGCTACAGGATGCCCTGTCCGCAGGACTGCCCCGTCTCTCTGCATGAGCTCATGATCCACTGCTGGAAGAAGGACCCGGAGGAGCGGCCCACTTTCGAGTACCTGCAGGGCTTTCTGGAGGACTACTTCACCGCCACAGAGCCCCAGTACCAGCCCGGAGAGAATCTGTGAGGCCTGCCCCGCAGACGGAGGCCTGTCCGGCAGGCTTGCCCACCCCCCTCATTAGCTTTCGGTTCCCAGCCAGCTGCCCCCGAGCAGCAGAACGTCCAGGATCAGATTGCATGTGACTGAAGCTGACGGACTTCCCCGGCCCTCATCAATGACACCTGTCCCCAGATCCGAACCTCCTCTGTGACGCCCCCGGGGCAGAGCCCTGTCACTCCTCAGACTCCGGAAATGCATTGTCTTGATGTCACGTGAAAGGCCAGACCTCTGTTCAGTGTAAATAGTCACTCCAGTGCCAACGACCCTCGTGCTCTCCCTTTTTTTAAAATGCAAATCCTATGTGATTTTAACTGTCTTCACCTGATTCAACTAAAAAAGTATTATTTTCCAAAAGTGGCCTCTTTGTCTAAAACAATAAAATTTTTTTTCATGTTTTAACAAAAACCAATCAGGACAGGTGTTTGTTTTTTTTCTTTTTTATAAATATGAACATATATATGCCCCTGTACATACATCGTGTGGGTGCTAACGTGGAAACCCCGGCCAACCTGGGCCACGAAGCCTCAGGACCCAGAGTGAATTTTCCTACAAAATCGGCATAAAAGCACTGTTTTTTCTGAAAACCAGGCCCTCATTTCTGGCTTTTGGCTGAGCACGAGTCTGATTTTGGTTTGGCGCGCTCCGGGGTTCGTGACCTGCATCCGGCTGTCACACCTCCTCAGCAGCGTCAAGCTGGCTTCACAAGCCTGTTCAGTATCTGCCTCAACTTACTTGGTTTGTTCTTGAAACTTAAAAACGGCCGCTGCTACCAGGGAAACTGGAAGATGGAAATTGCACAAACTTCGTGTCTAAAAATAGGAATGCTGAAAAGTTTCCAACTTTTTTATCTAATAAACCTTGCGACCACACCAAGCTGGTCTAAAGCCCTAGGCTCTGTAGTAAGGACGGCCTGCTGAGCTTCCTCACACACCTAAATCGCGGAGGCGGCGGGGGCAGTACATTTCCCATTGTGAAATGCGATTTTAAATGTCCTGTGCTGCGAATGAAATGACTTTCCGTGCATCCAGGAGCCCTCCCAGCGGGCTGACTATGCACGACTTCACACTTCCAGTTGCTGTTTGTACCAACCTTGAATTACATGTTTAACAACAACTAATCAAAAGCCTATTTCTATTGAGTTTTTAATACTGAGTAGCAACTCTGAAGTCTTAATTCCTTTTTTGTTACAATTTATTTGTGAGATTACATTTTTTAATTGTTTAACTTTATTAATTTAGTAATTAAAAAGAGCATTTTGCATTTGAATTTTTCTGTTCATTTGTTTAAACCCTGAAAGGTACTGTAGAGGTTCACACCTGCCCCATGGCAGGCAGGCAGGAGCCACCTGGTGAATTTAACCACTGGGCAGTGATTTCCAGTGACACAAGATTCCAATCCCAGGGGTGGTGGCTTTTTAAGGCTCTGCTGTTATCTAATGAAATCAGAGGGTTCTTAAAGCCAGATTGGCTTACGTTAACACTCTATCAGGCATTTTCTCTAACAGGAATTTTGTGTGTCCCACTTGTAGGAGAAAGATACAATTACAAGAAGAATCTTTCTTGCCTGTTGGTATCCGTGTGTGTATTTCCCAGTGTCCCTCCACCTCCGTAGTGGTGCCAAGCAGGGAAACAAGACGTGAAGGCAGAGGGGCCACCGGTGGCCTCATTCAGCTTTGGGGCATGAGCAGCCCCTGGCATCTCTCACCTTCAGGTCCCGTCTGCAGAAATGAGGGTTGGATGACATGTGCTGTAGGCACACCTGTGATTCTAAGGCCACTGAAATCGTGCAGAAACATACAAGGGCGCTTTCCTTGCTGAAAGAAACTTCGTATTTAGAAAGGTTTTCAAACATTAACAAAAAATGGTGAAACAGGGATTTTCTGGTTAGTCAAGTCTTGGTATTGTTTTTGGTATTAATTCAATTGCTGAATAGATAACATTTCAAAGATCTTATTACATGTAATTACCACATTACTGGACAATATTAACACATTCTAGATATTAAAAGTAAGTTTGTTTTTAATCTTCACATCCCACTAGGTTGGATAATTTGTAAATACCCTCTGGAGGATTTTGTTTGTTTTTGACTTGGTCAGTCAAAAAAAATCTGAAAAAGTCATAACCTGTTTGAAACTGATTCTTTAAGGAAAAAAACATGGTCTGTTCAAACGAAGCACAGCCTTTAATTCAGTTACACTCACTGTAGATTCTCATGAAGCAAAACTAGGACTCGGGTTAAGGGCACAAAGCGGGGCTGCTCTGGGCACTTGGGACAGGGGTGCAAAGTAATGGCACAGAAAAGACATTTTAGGGTTTTTCGTCCAAAAGCAAATGTCAAGAGATACCCCTGAGGTGCCCCGTGCAGGGAATGAAACCACCTCCCAAAAGCCTGCCTCCACCCACTGTGGGGGTGGGTGAGGAAACAAACTCCCCGACCAGAAAAGCCTCTTGCTCAGAAAAAAACGCCCAGCACCTTGAAGACACTTTGGTGGCAGGTGATGCTGGGCTGTTTTTTGTCTTGAATCGCCTGGTCGTGAAAAATAGTTGCTCTGTCCTTTGTGAGCTGGCCTCTGGCATTGGCGTGGCACAGGGAGACTTACAGCTGTTTCTTTTTACTTAAGCAATAACCCTTGCTAGAGACGACACCTGCACAGAGCTCAGACACTGTAGATGCCAGAACGATTTCTGTGGCTCACTCCCTGCAGCTCACTGTTCCCAGGGCAGCCGAGGGCTGGGAGCCCCGGAGCCCCCCATCCACGCAGGGCATCGGGGGAACCGGGTGGACCACGGCGGACAGTGCATGTGGCTCTGCGTGTGGGGAGCCAGGCAGTTCCACAAGAAAAGTCTCGGGTGCTCATAACCCCTCAAATACAGCCGTGCCACTTAGTGGCTCCCCAGCGAGCTCCAGGCGGCCTTCACCTGCCTCAAGAAAGATAAGAACCCTCCCGTGGCTTAAATTGTGGCACCAGAGGATTTTCCCAGTAGCACTGGACCTACAGAATTCTATTTGAGGTTCCCTGTGGGGCCTTAAGAACAGATTCGGTGTTAACTGGAACCGTCTTTCGTGAGTCCTGGGAGAAGGCAGGGTTCCAGCAGGTGCCAAGGATGACGCGTGGCGGATGTCCTCTGCTCGGGACAAGACAGACCGGCACTTCCTAACAAGCTGCATTTGGCTAAAATGGCTTCTGTCCGTTTGTACCTGAAAGTTATTTTAATAGGGTTATTGGCTTTCTTGCCACTACGTGTTTCTCTGTTGGAATCCAGGAAGGCTGCCCAAAAGGAAGAAAGGAAGAAGGGAGGGAGAGCATAATTTGGGGGAAAAGGAAGCTCAAAAGAATTCTATTCTAAAAAATGATACTGTGAGAAAAAAAACTACTATGGAATAAGCAGGTACCTATAAGGCATGTTTATTCTGTTTCTCAAAAATAGGTTACAACTACAGAGAAGAAAATAATGAAAAATCAGCACCTTTACTATCTTTGAAATGCGCCTTCATAGTTTGTATAGATCTAGCCTCAGGAATTTTTCATGATTCCTAGATCATCTCATTCTTGCAAGCATGCAAAATATCCAGAATCCCACTGGGGTTGGGGAGGGGGATATACATATATTTTAAAAGTTCTGAGACCTGAAAATGGAAGTAAGTGTTTTCCAGAGTGGCAGGGCCATTCCAAGGAGACGCCCCAGCAGCCGGACTCTGCGCCGTCCCAGGAGGCTCACCGCTCTCAACCACGTGCTTAGCAATGGGACTCCCCTGGCGCATCCCTCCTGCCAGGTCATGAGCTCCTGCAGGACAGGGCCCTCCTGGCTTGTCCACCCCGTGCCCCCTGTACCTGGAGCAGTGAGAGCTGACGGCAGATCCGGGACAACAGGTGGGTGCCATCCAGTGGGGTGACTGACCTGCAGAACGGGCGACTCACAAGCAACCCGCTCACCTAAGGGTCCCCTGTTCACCTGGGCGCCCGTCTCTGATGCACGATCTACAGACTCAGCCTGCAGCCTGGAGTGGGCACCGTGCTGCTTGCCAAGCCTGTCTCAGAGCGCATCCCAACACCGGTGGGAGCAAACTTGAATTCCCTGGGACTGGGGCCTTTAAGGTCTCATTCTAATTTCGCACTTTCAGGAAAATGTTAATATTCTCCCTAAAATACCCATTTTCTGTCTTCATGTGAAATTGGTCTCCCAGACCTTCAGGTTGTGCGCTGTTGGCCCGTGAATGGCTTGCGGTGCCTCAGCACAGCCCTGCACGGCCTGGGAGCCGCTGCGCCCTGCTTGAGGATCACAGCGTGAAGACAGCGTGAACTGCCGCTGCTGACACGGACCCTGGGTGGGAGAGGTGCCGTCGGCCCCTGGTGATACAGAACCTCATCTGATTCCCTTTGTCCTCCCAGCAAAGAGCAGTGCCCGACAGAGAACAGGGCAGAGGATGGGAGGGTTTGGGGACAGGAAGAGGAAAACCACCCAGAGCTGCCTGGCATGAGGGTCCAGTTACCTGCCAGTTCCGGCCCTGGAAGACGAAGCCAGAGCTGGGATGCAGCGAGCTCTTTGCCGAGGCCGCTCAAGGCACTAGGAGGACAGCGCATGAGACCGTGGACGTGGGTCAGGACTTAGCCATTCGTTCTTTGTCCAAGCGTTTGCTGAGAACTTGCAGGCTAGACCCTGTGCACAGCACTAGAAAGCCACAGAGACACCTGTTCTTCCCAGTCCAGTGGGGATGGAGACTTCTGAGAGACAGCAGCCAAGAGCTCTCTGCTGGGTGGGAGCACCGGGGTGAAGGGTCAGCCCGCAGTGGGCTGCCCAGGGAGGCTTCCCGGGGGAGGCGAGGCCTCAGAGGACAAGCAGAGGCGGACCAGGAGCTGCCTGTGGGCAGGCCTGGTGTTTTCTGCCTTCATACGTGTGTCCTTCAGTCTCCCAGTCCCCAGGAGGGGCTTGCTCAAGCTTTAAGGACAGAAGGTGCTCAGCAGATGTGCCTAAATGGAGATAAAGCACAGCACAGCCAAAAATTCTGAGTCCCTGTGTCTGCCCCCCACCTCACACACACGAAGTATGTGGCACATTATTTGTTCTGATGGCTGAGCTGCTAACTGAAGGAGGTGGCAGAAAACACCACAAGAGGGCAGGGAGCTAGGCTTTGGGTGGGCAGTGGGCTCCAGGGCCTGGCTGGCACCTACGTGGAGAATGGAAATAGGGACAGTGGCCTGGAGCCCCTCCCCGCCTCGGCTGGTGAGGCTTTTCCCCGCGGAGACCCCGGCCAGCTGTCTCTCCCTCCGCTCCCCAGGCTGCTTCGCCGACTCCACCGGCGGAACGGACAAGCAGCAGCAAGGTGTCCCGGTTATTACGCTTGGGAATCTTTTCCCTTTGGTTGATTACCAAGTGCTGCTATGTAACCATCAGTGAGGAGCTAATTGGAGGCAAGAGAGAATGAAATGGGTATTACTCAGACAGTGTTCTTAATGAAAAGTGCACGTGTAATACTGCAGGGAAATATTACTAAATAGCAAGAGATTTTATCTGGTTTTTTTTGGTGCGTGTGTTTACTTTTACCAAAGGAGTCGTTTACAGACACCCACAAACTAAGTCCAGGTGTGTGAATCCCCCCGTTTTAGGCTCCTCCCCGGGGATGAGAGCTGGAAGGTACCCGAGGGAGCCAGAGCGTCCGGAGATGGCTCAGGGCCCAAGCCAGCCTGACGGAGCCTGATGGTCTCGCGGTTCCCAGGGCGCAGGGAAGACAGCGGTAAGCAAGTGGCAGCAATTGCCTGGAGAATCAGGGAGTGAAAAACAGTGCTTTCTGGTAAATAGACCATATTACATACAACACTGCAAAGTGATGGGAAAACCCTGTTAAAAATTGAATAATAACTTGCCCACATCATTTACATAAAATGCATAATTTTCCTACTTCAGTGGACTTAATTTGATTTACAACATGAACAGCTCCGGTTCTGTTCACCAAAGCATAATCTGTGAGATGAGGGGAAGGAGAAGAAAACGGCCGGCAATCCTGTGCGAGCCCTGCTGTCCTGTGCGGATCAGAAAGCACTTGTTTGCAAGGCCCTGAGTCGCCGCTGTCACTGCGCCTCACTGTGTTGGAGAAGGGAAGCCGCACTTGGCTCTGGTGGGTGTTCGCTCTGATCCGAACCAGTGCTGGCTTCTCATTGGGGGGGAAAGTGGAAGCCGACCATGTACGCGGATGGGACAAGCTGCGCCTGGCTGGTTCTGAAAGAGGGGGCAGCGTGCAGATCCTGCCACCTACGTCTGCGT